ATATATTTATTTATTTATTTATTTATCAAATTCGTTGTCAATTACACATTCTTCCAAAAAATAATTTTACATCTAAAACCAAAACTTTTCATTGTTTTTTAGTCACACACGTAAGGATTTTTAATCAATAGATGAGCTTATATGTGTAAATAATTGTGTGTTAAATTAAAGGCTATCAAATTCGGTTAAGCCCAGTTAAAAGTGATCTAATAAGATTTCGATTTTGGATCGTTAGACATCCAATTAAATTGTGGGTTATATATGTGTAGAGACTGGGCTCAGATTCCTAATTCTATAATGTGCCGAATTAGGTCAAAGGGCATCGCTATATATAAATGGTTATGATCCCCAAATCACACATAGAGAAAGTATTGTATTGTTCATTTTCTTCTGCATCCCATCACAGAGAGAAAAGGAGACTACGTGTTGAGTTGGAAGACCAAGCCACATGATTCGATTATTGCATCAACAATTCTGATTCAGGTACGCTTCCGCTATAGCTCTCTAATTTCTTGATCATCCAACATGAAGATCCGGTGATTTAAGGTAACAAATTATCCTACAACATATTCTCTAGGAAAAAAATTACTGTAGCAAAACTTATTTCCTGAAAAATTGGGGGTCAAAAAGAGCTTTAAACTCGATGTATACCAAAGATGATATTATTGGGAATCAATACCTGATTTTAGGGTTTGTTTCTTGGGACAGATTCGATTGCCTCTTCTTGAGAAGATTAAACAAGGATCAACTAGTTATTATATTATATATTTAAAGAACAGATATCATAATTCAATTTAAGAAGAATCTCATTTTGAAAGACGGTTGTTGAAACTATAAACAGAATATGTGCAGAAATCATTCAGTTGATTCTATCTACTTCTAAGTTAATACAACAATCTTAATTTAATCTGTTTTCAAAAATGACATATCTTCATAATTGAACTAATTATTTACATATACATATGTTATAATTTCAAGTATTTTCTATGTCCCCACGAAAAGATTTGCTTTTCTTTGTTTTGTAACAGAATTTGAGCACATGCTCCCACATTGATCGTCTCTTTCAGTTGTTATTAACTGGTCAACGTGTCCAAATGCATCGCGTAAACTTGATACATAATCACAATGTTCAATTATTGAAAACGTTGTTCTCTTCTCACAAGTTTCATGTTGTCGATTTTTATATCCTGCAAGTATACGAATCATAACAGTAATAAAGTGGACATAAGAGTTCGAATTTCGTTTTCACGAGAATTACTATTTAACAATTGGTTCAATTATTTCTAAATTTAATTTGATCAAAGACAAATAATGAGTTTTATGATTGAAGTCTAAATTATTCTAACTAAACTAAATTATCTAACGTACACAACTTATCGAATTTGGGTTTTTAAAGTATGAATATGGTTGCTAGGACATAAAATTTACCTATGGATCCCCTTTAATTCGGCAATCAAGATTCATTACAATTGTAGTGTTTGATCGAATGCTTCTATTGTATTCAATTTACTTTACTCCTCTCGAATTTTCATTGAGCTTATTTAACTAATTCAATTCCATATTTCTATGCGAATTAATATAGTTAAACGAAATATTAGTTCTAAGAATTCATCTAACGGTCACAATAATTAGTATAGGTACCTCTACACGTTATACTAATGTACCGAATTTTTATATGTTGACTAAATCTATAACTCACATTTTGATTCGTAAAGATTCACAACATTAAATTAGTGATCCAATAATTCAATGCATTAAACTCATAGCAAATTCAACACATGAAAGATAAAAGAACAAGAATCTTGAATATAAGAAATAAAGAGTCTCAAAAGATTACATCGTTTAGCCTAATATGAATTTAGCTACTCATAATAATGGAAGAAAAACTAAAAACTTGGACTGAGTACATCATCGAGTTTTGAATTGAGAAATATAAAAGATGATGAAACTTGCACCTAGTTCTCTTCTTGCTTCCAATCTTGACTTCAAAACTTAGATCTTAATTTATTGTTTTCCTTTTAATTTTCTTTCGAAATCTCTCATTATATATATTCTCCCTCTCAATGTGTAGAATCCTTCTCGCCCGGTTGAATTCCCTCCCAAAAGTGGCCTCTAGATTGGTATTTATGTCTTTTTTTAAGTCATTGGAAGAGTTTAATTGAAATTAGGCTTTTAAAAGACGAATTAAACTTGGAAAACCAGAAATTGAGCTTTTAAAAGATGCATTAAACTTGGAAAACCCTAACTATATGCGGCTAAGTGCCCAGGCGCTAACTTTTGGGAAAAAAAATCAGCAATGTGGCGCCTGGGCGCTAAGGGATAGCACCTGGGCACTGTCGTCAACTTCAGTTGCATTGCACAAAATTCAGTATTTTTATCATAATTTTTTTCCCCCAATATCTAATTGAGGCGATTCAAAGTGCATTGGAGAGCTAACTCAAAGAGTTACAATTGTTACATATATTATTTTTAAATTCGAATGTTTGCTACATCAAAAATGAGTCTCAATATGAGACTAAAAATCCAGAGTATAACTTTTTAGGTTGGAAATTGATGCCTGATCATGCTTTGACTATATTTCATCTTTTTGACTTTTTTCTTTATCCAATTGACTTCTAGGATTCTCGAATCTTCATTGTGAGATCCGACACAACTTTTGAATATTTGTACTTTAGTCTCCAAACTTTGAATCTCTTACAATTTAGCCCATTTTTGCCAATTTTCGCTTCTTTCTTTCAATTTCACTTTCATTCATCGAATTTCACCTAATAAACGAAATATAAAATAAATTAGGCTATAATTATTCTAGAGAACTATTAAATGTCTATATTTTTTGCCCAAATAAATATATAAAATACATCTATCATTTCATTTAGCCGAGGTTCAAGAATCATGCTGCATGCATTGCATGTAATTAATATTGGTAAACTTTGTATTTAGACAGTGAATCGGGTTAATCTAGAAAAATTCTGTAATGCAACATGTTCTTTGTCAAGGGTTAAGCCCACGAGCCAGATCTCTATTGGGTCTCGGTTAATTTCTTTTCCTTCTATAAATTCCAAAGAGCGAAGGCTGACCAATAATATCGATATGGTTTAATGACTAGACCCATGGGTTCCGTTGTCTCCCGCTCATATTGTATTTGGTTGATCATTGATAGACAAATATTTATCTGTAATAGAGACAAAGTCACAGGGACGGATTTAGAGAGGGACTAGCTGGGCAGTAGTCCTCCCCTACCTGGTCCAATTAAAATTTTTTAGGGTAATTTTCTTTATTATTTTTTTTTTTTGTAAAAACAGATTTTTAATAAGTAAATTTTTTTTTTTCGTATTGGCCCGACTTAAATTTTTTTTAG